AAAAAAAAAAAAAAAAAAAAGATTAGCTCGGCATAGAGGCACAAACCTATAGTCCCTCAGCTACTCAGGAGGCTGAGGCAGAAGGATGGCCTGAGTCCAGGAGTTCAAGACTATGGTGAACTGTGATCATGGCACTGCACTCCAGCCTGGGCAACAGAGATCCTGACTCTAAATACATACATATCTACTTACCTACCTCTCAGTAAACTGGGCATCAAAGGAAAGCTCTTCAGCCTGATAAAGGACATCTACAAAAAAGCCTACAGGTAACATCATGCTTAGTGGTAAATTACTGAAGAACTTTCTGTCTCTCTTTTTTGAGTTGGAGTCTCACTCCATCACCCAGGCTGGAGTGCAGTGGCACACTCACAGCCACCCCAGTGTTGACCTGTTGGGCTCCAACAATCCTTCTGCCTCAGTCTTCCAAGTAGCTGGAACTACAGGTGTGCGTTACCACGCCCAGCTAATTTTTTATTTATTGCAGAGATAAGGTCTCACCAAGTTGCCCAAGCTGGTCTCAAACCCCTGAGTTGAGGCAATCCTCTTGCCTTGGCCTCCCACAGTGCTGGGATTACAGTCTTGAACCATCACACCTGGCAGATATTTTTTTACATATATCTCAGTATATGTTCCATCTCTTTATTTGCTTTTTCATGCAATTTGAGTGGAAAACTTAAAGGAAACATACATTTGCGAAAAGTCTGCACTGGCATAAGTTTATCCTGTATAATCACCAGCAATCTTTTCTTTTTTTTTTTTGAGTTGGAATCTCACTCCTTCACCCAGGCTGGAGTGTAGTGGCATGTACGCTCACGGCCACCGGTGATCCTTCCACCTCAGCCTTCCAAGTAGCCGGAACTACAGACGCACTCTACCATGTCCGGCTACACCAGCAATCTCTTTATGTCCCCTGAGAGGGGACATCCAAGTGCCAAGGGTTAGTATGTAAAGGGACATGGTGGCTCAGACCTATAATCCCAGCACTTTAGGAGGCCAAGGAGGCAGGATTGCTTGAGCCCTCGCTCTA